GACATTTGGAAGGATTTAACATAAGACCATTTGACTTGAACCACTTGTTGATGTCCAACAGAAAGCTATTAAGTTTGGAGCTGTCAGACTCGGAAGTGATAGGCAGTGATACAGTCAGATCATCTGCATATTTGACAAAGTTAGTTTCGTTTGAATGAGGTAGGTCATGTAGGAAGAAAGAAAAAAGAAAAGGAGAGAGTACAGCACCTTGTGGAACACCGGATTTTGTAAGCGAGGTAGAAGAAGATTTGCCGTTATATACAGTATACTGCATTCTATCAGAAAAATAGGAATGCAACCAACTCTTAGCCCAGGATCCTGTTTGTGTCAACGATAGCTTATTTAACAAAAGGCCCCTAGGTACAGAGTCAAAAGCAGATGTGTAGTCTAAGAAAGCACTACGAACATATTTAGCACCTTTGTCTAAACAAGAGACAACATTGTGATATAAGACAACCGCAGCATCCAAGGTACTTCTACCATGTTTGTATGCAAATTGTTTAGGATCATTAAAAGGTTTCAAAGCGGGTTCAAGACGAAGTAAAAGTAATTTTTCCATCAATTTTAAAAAGGGGGAAGTAATTGCAATAGGCCGAAATTTAATATCAGAACCAGAAGATGGTTTTGGTATAGGGATAATTTTAATGTTTTTCCATGCAAAAGGTAGAACGTTACCGGAAAAAGAAGCATTAAAAATGTTAGTAAGAGGATAACACAAAATATCAGCACAATTCCTGAGGACAATGGCAGGTATGCCGTCAGGACCAAGGCTTTGAGAAGGCTTAAGAGACCGGAGACATTTAAGCACATCAAGGGTATTAAAACCACTAAAGTTATTGTCAATATGATTTGTATCATTTGGAAGGGTATCAACAGAAGAGCGTATGAAAGATTTATTAAGAGTGTCAACATTAAGAGATGGAACAGAAATACATCGCTTACCGTTAGTAATTTCTTTGAAAAGTTTCCATAAATTAGAAGGGGTTTTACATGACAAAAATCTTTGATTATATAAAACACTTAGTCTTTTCATTTCCAGTTTTATCAGCATGTTTAACTTTTTTACACCAGGCTTATCATTAGTTTTGAACAACAGTTCTTTATTTCTACGTAGCTTTTTGAGATATGGCGAAGATAAGCGATCAAATCGAATGAATAATGTTTCTTTAGGACAACATATTTCGAAACAGAATTTAAGATAATCGGTAGTGTTTGTGATTGTTTCATCTAATGTTTGTTCTGTAAATAAGTCCCAGTTAGTGTCTTTCAACATGCATCTGAGCTTGTCTAGGTTGTCTTTTGAGTAGCATCTCCGTTGAACTTTACTGTAGAGGTGAGAGAGGACACCTTTGTGTGATTTGGAATATATTTTAGGCAGTACACGTATGATGCAGTGGTCAGAATTAAGTAGAGGAGCACGTTTGCGAGCTTCATATATGCCAGCATCATTAATGAATACTAGGTCCAGTGTTTTACCAAGACGGGTGGCAAAGTTAACAATATTGTCATGACCAAGTGATATAAGGAAGGAGCAATCGCTTCCATTGAAGTCGCCAGTTACTATTGATAAAGAGTTCTCGAAGCAAGCTGCAGCAAAAGCGGTGAATTCATCGGCGAACATAGATAAATCCAATATGGTACAGCCAGGAGAGACATAAACATTAGAAATATAAATGAATTTGTATTTTGAGATGTGTTTCGGGCGACATCTCACAGTGATGCAATCAATGAAGTCATTCGAGAATTTGAAACAAACTTTGTTTGAAATGGACCATTTTGAGTGAATAAAAGTTGCAACACCTCCACCACACTTTTTCTTGGAACAAACACGGTCTTGTCGAAAAACATTGAAATTGTTTAGAGACACAATATTGTCATCGTATGAGTCATGGAGCCAGGTTTCTTGCAGAGTGACAATACCAGTATTGTGGTAGGTACTAGAAGACAACAGAGACTGAAAATCCAGAATTTTATTAGGCAGGGACCGGCAGTTGGTACTAATGATAACTGGAACAGTGGTGTGATGTATGGGTGTAGATTTTAAGGCACGCTGCCAACCTCCATGGTGCTTTTTCTTGAGTTTATTGCAAATATGAAAGTTTTTGGGTTTAAAACGTTTTATAAAATCCCGGGAGTGGATAATACGATTAGAATGCATAATGTGATATGTAAATACCAATAAAATACGAGTAAATAGATGCAAAATGTACATGGAATGTGGTAGCCCAAAAATATTCAAACAGGCCGCCAAGGTCATTCGAGTATTATACAGATGTAGACATTGTTATTAGTGTAAACACAATAATTAACCATGAAATATGTTTGAAATGACGAAATAATTAGTTAAATTGTATATAATTACGTCAGTAAACATTTTTCAATAATGCAAAATCGATATTGCATCTGCCTGCAAACGTCAAGTTTATGTCATAAAATAAGGAAATACTATGCGCATATAATTTCTAAGTATTTCTGCAGATTTTTCCTTAAAGAAATACATGTGGAGGAGCCTTGTCAGCATTAAGAAAAGCACACAACAAAGTAAATGAAATAATTACCAAAACGATCTATCCCACCTGATCATATCCATGTGTAATCCATTAAAATGCAAAATAATTCACGAAATGGTCGTTATAACATGTGTCTTCGACATATTCTGAACGGAAAAGTACGTTTTTCAACAAACTGCAAACTGCCTGTAAGCTACGGCCGGATAAGGACACCACCATTGCCCATTTCTTCTAAATACGCCGTATTTCACCAACTTTTAGCTGGAATATATGTGATAAAGTGTGTATAACAACGAAAAATGACCTAACCTTGACGTCTTTTCCAAAAATAACGCCAATATCCATCAGCTGATCAAATGACCTACGGCCGTCTACAGGCTGCCTATCATAGAATCGCTATACTTAGACGTGCGAGCATACAGTTTTCTGAAGTTTCCTCTTGTTCTACCTGAGGAGATAGATGCCAGGTGAAACCTGAGGGGAAGTGGATTCTCCAAGTCAGACAAAATCCCTTTAGCAAATTTATTGCACGAAGTCAAATGCCTATCGACAACGACGTTAACTATGTGGTCCACTGGGACACCACTCACTCTACTGACAGTCTTCAGTATTCTACGGATTGTGACATAGTCCTTTTTAAGCAAACCAGGAAAGAATAAGCAGGGGTGAACAATAAAGAAGAATAGGTAGGATGCAAGAGTTTACGAACTGTAGGATGAGGGGTTGAGTTATACCCGAGTGTCTTAACTTCTTAATGTAAAATGTCAGGCGGAATATTTTACTGGAGATTGCTAAGACATGGGAAGACCAGGAGAGATCAGAAGAGAGAATGAGTCCAAGATACTTAATTTCTGATTTGATTCCTATATCATTGTCATCAATCTTACAACTGTCATGAGAATCGACAACTTCTTTTCACTGTCTTTTACATCTTAAGCTGAAATCAACAGTTTGACACTTAGAAGGATTCAGTTTAAGACCGTTGGACTCAGACCGTTTGCTGACTTCCGATAGAAAGCTATTTATTTTAGTACAATCTAGCTGGGAGTTAACAGCCATTGAAACCGTTAAATCATCAGCATACTTCACAAAGTTTATTTCATCAGAGTGAGGCAAGTCGTGCAAGAAGAAAGAAAAAAGAAAAGGAGAAAGCACAGCACCTTGAGGGACACCGGCTTCAGTAGGCAATGAAGTGGAGGACTTCCCTTTATATACGGTGTACTGCTTTCTATCTGAGAAATAGGAATGTAACCACTTAACAGTCCAACATTCTGTTTGACTAGCAGCAAGTTTGTTTAATAAGATGTCCCTAGGGGCCGAGTCGAAAGCAGATGTTTAGTCTAGGAATGCACAACGAACAAATTTAGCCCCCTTGTCTAGACTGCAAGCAATGTTATGATATAAGACGACAGCTGCATCTAAAGTGCTTCTACTGTGCTTATAGGCAAACTGTTTAGGGTGGCTAAAGGATTTAAGCGAATGTACAAGACTAAGTAAAATTAATTTCTCCATAGTTTTCAAAAAAGGAGAGGTAATAGCAATGGGTCTAAATTTGACACATGCTGCAGTAGATGATTTAGGTATTATTATTGTATCCTTTAGTTCCTAGAGGAACATAGGGCTTCAGCTGCGCACCTCCATTGCCTTCGGTTTCCTGACAACTTTTTCACCCTGCTCCAGGTATGTCCACATGCTTTCATCTCCTCCTCGCATGACCTCCTCCAAGTCACCCTTGCACTGACGACCAACTCGCCGCCTCCCTTTCGGGTTCCACTCGAGGGCTTGTCTAGTGATGTCACTTAATAATAATAATAATAATAATATATATTCTCATTTTTTACATGAGGGACGCCAGTTTACAGGCATCATCAATTCGATAATTTACACATAATATTAATAAGCATATTTAGTAAAGATAATATAATAAAGTACATTTTTTCCCTAGCTATGTAGGGTACACCAATTGTATAGGCATGCATAAATATTGTTTTAATAATAATAATATATTCCTTCCTGTTCATGCAGGAACATACCTATTGTACAGGCATGGATAAGTTATTATATAAATTACACATAATTTGATGTATAATGGACTTACAGTTTGGTTGTTCTTTCTGACATTAGAGTCAGTCGGAACAGTCTGCTATAAAGTCAGTTTGTGTAGCACATAAAGAGATATAGAAATATTGTCTTCGCATTAACAAAAAACCCAGACATCACATGAATGTAATACAGATATCTGGGAAAAATAAAGCTTGAAGTCAATTCTCCTACATAACTTTGTTGTGAACAGCACCCTTGGCTTAAAGATTATTGATGTATTATATTGAGATCAGTGATATATTTATTCCATTTTTCAGCAGTCTTATCGTAGTTTCATAACAGGAAAGAAATTTGATCGTGGGGGCGAAAATTAGATAAAGTCATGCTAAGTTGTTTTACTGCATCAAATGGTCCCGAGGTCGATTCCAGAATTCTCCATTTGCGCCATTTGTGTCTGCATGGCGGACTGTACTCGTAAGTTGAGTAAAATGTTGAAAACCAGTTGCTTCTTTATTGCAGATCATGAATACTCATTTACATCGTGTCCGCCAGCTTCTTTAAATGGTAGAATTGGATCGTTCCTGGAATTTGAGTGATTATGGGATAAATGGTTTGGAATTAATCATAGCAGTTAGAATACAGTTAAACATGCAGAGAAGTACTTTTGATTCAGCAACCGGTGAATTTTTTATTCTTTTCGATCTAGTACCAGAATAACTGCGAACCATTCCATTCAATATGTCGAATAAGGCACGCAGGAGGAGATCATTACCATGGAATGAGTCAACTTGATCTGAGATGCAGCTTTCAGCATGTTTTCGTTACATCATAGATATCCAGGTTTATTGGCGCTGTAGAGGCGGTGATTTGGATTATAACGTAATCTACAAAGTCTCCGTGTCCATTTGAAGTATACATATGCTTTGAAAGGATTACTTTGTTGGCTCCTACCCCCACTGAGTGTTAACAACAGCTGCTGTGGGTTTATGTATTTCCTCGCCTTTTTGGATAAAACATCGCCGCATTCTTTTTGGGTAGGAGACCAGTTGGTGGATTATAAATGATATCCAAGTAACTTTTATCTTTTCATGTGGTGTTGCGGTAAGTTTCTACCTTGTTTTCTCATATTTCATTCGTATGTTGATTATGGTTCGCCCTTTGTATCAGGTAGACATAGTTTGATCGACTCTTGGTTGAATGGGTGTTATTGTCATGACTGCTGCTTTTTTGTCTGGAATTATAAATAGAGACAAAACAAACAACAGGTGTAGTCTCTGAGTTCATACATTAAATGGGCCTATGATTTCTGAAACTCTTACATGGGAATTACCATTGGTATCAATTACAAACTCACTTAGTGTGTCATTAAGTGCCTTTTCAAAGGAGGCCAATGTGCTTGCTAGTCGTATTTTCTCAGGTAGTTTGTTCCATATTTGGGCATACCTAATCAAGAAAAACTTTTGCCTGGTGGCTGTTTTACATGGTTCTATAGCCACTGTACCTTTAGTGTGCCTAAGGTTGTATCCTGTGTTACCTGAGGACCGAGTATAGTTAGCAGGGGTATACACTATTTGGTTAAGAAGCTTATAGAAGAGTACCAGATTTAGTCGCAGTCGCCTTAACCATAATGTTTCTAGTCCCAGGATTTCACATCTGGTAGAGTAGTTTGTGCCGTTATCGGTTCCGAGTACTTTTCGCGTGAAGTACCTCTGTACTCCTTCTACTTTCAGTTTGTCTTCTATGCGTGTACTGCTGAATATGAATGAGCAGTAATCTAGGAGTGGGCGCACACATACCTTGTACAGTAGTATTCTGGACTCGTTTCTGTAGAAGTTTCTGAGTAGGAAACCAATAAGCCTTCGTGATTTCGACACTTGATTCGAGATATGCTCTGAAAATGATAGATTGTGTGAATATTTCAGTCCTAGGTCTAGTACAGATTTGAGTCTGGGGATTTTGTGGCCCTGAATTGCTAGGTTGAGGTCAAGGTTGGAACAGCCTATGCAGAGCCATCCACACTTTTCAACATTAAACTCAAGTCTCCACGTGTCACACCAGCTATCCATTTTTGCTAATTCTTCATGTATGGAGTTCATAGTTGGGCCGATATCTGTATTTGTGCAGGTATATGTCACCTTCAAGTCATCTGCATACAGTATTGGCTTGCCTATACTAAAACATTCACATATACTGTTTATGTATATAATGAAAAGAAGGGGTCCCAATACACTCCCCTGGATGACACCACTGCTGATTGGTCTAGGTCTGGAGGTCATTGAGCCAACTTTAGTTGTCTGATTCCTGTCATACAGAAATGATTTTATCCAATTGTAGAGGGGGTTGCATATCCCTAGTGAGCATGAGTCAACTTGATCTGAGATGCAGCTTTCAGCATGTTTTCGTTACATCATAGATATCCAGGTTTATTGGCGCTGTAGAGGCAGTGATTTGGATTATAACGTAATCTACAAAGTCTCCGTGTCCATTTGAAGTATACATATGCTTTGAAAGGATTACTTTGTTGGCTCCTACCCCCACTGAGTGTTAACAACAGCTGCTGTGGGTTTATGTATTTCCTCGCCTTTTTGGATAAAACATCGCCGCATTCTTTTTGGGTAGGAGACCAGTTGGTGGATTATAAATGATATCCAAGTAACTTTTATCTTTTCATGTGGTGTTGCGGTAAGTTTCTACCTTGTTTTCTCATATTTCATTCGTATGTTGATTATGGTTCGCCCTTTGTATCAGGTAGACATAGTTTGATCGACTCTTGGTTGAATGGGTGTTATTGTCATGACTGCTGCTTTTTTGTCTGGAATTATAAATAGAGACAAAACAAACAACAGGTGTAGTCTCTGAGTTCATACATTAAATGGGCCTATGATTTCTGAAACTCTTACATGGGAATTACCATTGGTATCAATTACAAACTCACTTAGTGTGTCATTAAGTGCCTTTTCAAAGGAGGCCAATGTGCTTGCTAGTCGTATTTTCTCAGGTAGTTTGTTCCATATTTGGGCATACCTAATCAAGAAAAACTTTTGCCTGGTGGCTGTTTTACATGGTTCTATAGCCACTGTACCTTTAGTGTGCCTAAGGTTGTATCCTGTGTTACCTGAGGACCGAGTATAGTTAGCAGGGGTATACACTATTTGGTTAAGAAGCTTATAGAAGAGTAACAGATTTAGTCGCAGTCGCCTTAACCATAATGTTTCTAGTCCCAGGATTTCACATCTGGTAGAGTAGTTTGTGCCGTTATCGGTTCCGAGTACTTTTCGCGTGAAGTACCTCTGTACTCCTTCTACTTTCAGTTTGTCTTCTATGCGTGTACTGCTGAATATGAATGAGCAGTAATCTAGGAGTGGGCGCACACATACCTTGTACAGTAGTATTCTGGACTCGTTTCTGTAGAAGTTCCTGAGTAGGAAACCAATAAGCCTTCGTGATTTCGACACTTGATTCGAGATATGCTCTGAAAATGATAGATTGTGTGAATATTTCAGTCCTAGGTCTAGTACAGATTTGAGTCTGGGGATTTTGTGGCCCTGAATTGCTAGGTTGAGGTCAAGGTTGGAACAGCCTATGCAGAGCCATCCACACTTTTCAACATTAAACTCAAGTCTCCACGTGTCACACCATCTATCCATTTTTGCTAATTCTTCATGTATGGAGTTCATAGTTGGGCCGATATCTGTATTTGTGCAGGTATATGTCACCTTCAAGTCATCTGCATACAGTATTGGCTTGCCTATACTAAAACATTCACATATACTGTTTATGTATATAATGAAAAGAAGGGGTCCCAATACACTCCCCTGGATGACACCACTGCTGATTGGTCTAGGTCTGGAGGTCATTGAGCCAACTTTAGTTGTCTGATTCCTGTCATACAGAAATGATTTTATCCAATTGTAGAGGGGGTTGCGTATCCCTAGTGAGCATAGCCTACCGACTAACAGACTATGTGGGACTCTGTCGAAGGCTTTCCTTATATCGAAATAGAGGATAATCACTAGCTCTCTCCTATCTCTTCTATAGGTGACTTCGTTGAAAAAGTCTATATGGCAAGTGACGCAAGATCTTTTCTTGAGGAATCCGTGTTGTGACAGGTTGATGAGTTTATGTTTTAGAAAGTAGTCTGACATTTGGTCTTTGATTACTTTCTCCATGATCCTTGATATGACTGGTGTTATATTGATAGGCCTATAATTACATGCACTAGTTTTGGCCCCTCCTTTATGCTTAGGTAATATATATGTGTTTTTCCAAGTTTCAGGGTAGGTTTCGGTCACTAGTGAGATATTAAATATTCTAAGTAATAATACAATCATATCCGTACCACCGTTTTTGTATATGACGGATGGTATATCGTCTATCCCACAACTACTGTTAGCTTTTAATGTCCTTACCGCCGATGCTATATTTTGTATATTAAAGTTTATTTCACCTAACTTGTAGTTATTTTTGCAGGTTATGTCGAGAATTGGGGACGGATGTGCTTTGGTGTTATTGGAGAACCACTCACTCAGGAGTTCACTAATGATCTGGGGATCATCATAAATTATATCTTCGTGTTCTAAATGACTGATATTGTTTTCTTCACCCTTCTTCATCCGTTTTTGCAAGATTTTGCAGAGTTCCTGGGTTTTAGAGGTGCCCTCTAGGGCTTTATTTTCCTCGACTTGTGCTTTCATTTTATGTCTCTCATCTAAATTTTTAAATATTTCGTGTATCAGGTGTAATGCATTAAATTCTTTGTATAAATAAAATCTCCTTTTTAGTTTCCTTAGTTTTATTCGCGTTTTGCGATCTATGAACAGAGTTGGTGTCTTTAGGGCAGATTTCAGGGGTGCGATTGTGTCTCTTACCGAACTGATTGTCTTGTAGAAGGTATTTAGTATTACTTCTAAGTTATTATTGGTGAAGTATTCACCCCAGTCTGAGCTTCTCAAGAGCGTTGGTAGGAATTCCCAGTCGGCATTTCGATAGTCCCTATATTGATAGTAAACCGGGGAACTCTTAGGTGTGTGTTTAGTTGTTAGTTGTAAGGGTAGGGTGCAGTACAGTATGTTGTGGTCACTGTTGTCGAGTTTATCCCTCACCTCTATCGAGATCGGCTCTATTTTGTGACAGAGGATTAAGTCGAGTATATTGTTGTGTCGTGTTGGGAGGCGTACGCACTGCTTCCATCCTCCCACATCTATGGCTTCTAGGATCACCTCGTAGGTTCTCGGTCCAGTGCAGGTATCCCAGTTCACTCCAGGGAGGTTGAAATCGCCACAAACTAGTTTGTAGTCGAATTCCAGCTTAGGTACAACCTCTAGTATTTCTCCGATAACCGTATCAGTCGTTATAGGGCTGTTAGGGGCTCTGTATATACATCCCACAAGAATGTTATTTTCATTCGTGTGGATGCTTATCCACTTGGATTCTGGGAGTTTGTCGATAGTTAGGTTTGTAAAGGTATTGGAGTTAGTGGATTTAGAGGCATATATTAGACAGCCTCCTCCTCTCTTGTCTGCTCTGTCATTCCTGTGGATGTTATAGTTATCGATTATCAGCTTTGTGTCAGGTATATCAATAGTAAGCCAAGTTTCAGTTACCAGAATCAGTGTTGGCCGCTCCATGTATACCAAGCTGCGAAGGGAAGTTATTTTGTTAAGGAGAGATCGAGCATTTAAAAGCATAATTTTCAGAAAACCAGGGTTGTTGGGATAGTTAGTAGGTTTTCTTGTTACTATCCCTAACTCCTGGTTGCCTATGTTATGTTCGGAGGAATCCTCATATGAGACATTGTCAGCGTGTTTACTATTCCCTGGACAAATTGTGCTGCGAGGGGGGCTATTGCTTGCTGCAGCCGAAAATAATCCTGTTGCATATTTTGACTATTAGCATCCATGGGTCGGCATCTGCGTTCATCTACTGGTGATATATGGTCTGCCCTGCAATTTGGGTTGTAGTTTGCTGGACCTGGGTACCCTGTGTTAAGACTACCCTGGTAGTTGTACCTCATGGGGCTTTCATAGCCGTATGCATATTGGCTCACGTCACGTGCGTGAGTGAAGTTATTGAGGGGATCAAGTGTCGACCTGTTCTCATTATGTTGATGAGGTCTAACATATATAGTGCGGGAGTCTGGACGAGAATTTTCGTTAATATGGTGCCTATATGAGTCCCGTTTAGTGCCCCATGTATCCCGAGGATCCATTCTACGTTGCATTCCCAAGTTATGTGCGTTGTTAGGCATGTTACTTCTAGTCCGGGAAGGGGTATTCCTTCTCATATGCTGCGTGACGTCTTTGGGAATGTGCTTCGTTACCCATGCTTTGTCATTTTTTAGACTGACACGCTGCTTATTTGACTTATTACGAGGGAGGTATGTCGAAGTCTGGGGTGGGACTCTGGGTTTTGTGGTCTTTTTTGCGGTTTCTACTGAGGGACTCTCTGGCTTGGATCCAGATTGAGTGTGGTCTTTTTTTTTTTTTTTTTTAGCCATAGTTTGTGCGTCTATGTCAACCTCATGTAGGTCAGCAGGTTTTCGAGATGTGCTCTCGTGCACTCTAAGACTGCACCCAGTGGCACTGCTCTTACTGAGTTTTGGGTCGCTCTTACTTGCCGTTTTTTCTCCTAACACTATACACGTGACTTGCTGTGCCTCAGTGTCCGTCGACTCTTTAGCACTGATACCAGATGTATTTCTCAGTGTTGTCAACTTTGTGTCGAAGGAGTTCTTGGTTGCTTGCCTTTGGTTTGGTGTTTTATCCGAGACTACTTTGATAGTCTTGAATTTAGTGGTAGTAGCCAGAAGATCTTCGGCCATCTTAAATCGTTCAGCTGTTATGTAGCTGTCGAACCTAAAGAGTATAGGACAAGGATACTTCAGGTCTTTTTTGCTTAGGCGAATGCACTGACAAGGTGCATTCAATAGATTTGCAGCCTTCAGCAATGAGTGCTGGACTGACTTTATGGGCTCACTATCCGGTACATTATATACTATTGCGTTTTGTTTTGAAGCCAGCCTTTTAACAACTTCGCTGGATAGAAAGTCGATGGCGTTTTCTAACTCCTTCGCATTTTCTGAGTCAGTATGAGTCATTCTAGAGGTCATATTAAAAAGCTTTAGGATTGTAGGATCCTGCATTTCTTTTTTCATACGTGAGATAGTTTCAGGTATACATTCTAGGGAACTTAATTTCGTTTTTAATTCATCTATCTGTAGCTGCATCTCTTTAATTACGCACGTTAAGTAAGAGAGCTCTACTTTTTCAGACAGAACATCTTCCACCTGTATTACAGGGGTCAGAGTTATGTTCGAGGCTTTTATGTTGGGTGAACTACTAATAATATGGGGTGGTAATGTGTTATTAGACGAGCCGGTGCTATTTTCTAAGTTACTGGTGTTCACACGAACACGCTTTTTAGAATTTTGAACCATCGTTATTAAAGATCAATTATTAGTAACCAATAAATGAATATAAGCGAAAACACGTGCAAAAGCGTCACCTGATTTGAACGAACCGGGTAAAGTTTCCTCAGCGTATGGCCAATCCATCTCCATTTCTTTCTGCCTATTTGTTTCACAATCGGTTCCTGATTGGTTCGCTCCCAGAGATCCCTGTTGCTGATCTTTTCTGGCCATCTGATCTTGAGTATTGAGCGGAGACAGTTGTTAATGAAGGTTTGAAGTTTGTTTGAGATGCTCTTTATGACTCGCCAAGTCTCTGATCCGTATAGTAGCACTGACTTCACATTGGAGTTGAAAATCCGGATGTTAATTTTGATGCTGAGTTCTGTTGACCTCCACACAGATTTGAGAGTAATGAAAGCTTGTCTTGCTTTTCCGATTCTGGCTCTGATGTCCTCGTCAGTTCCGCCTGTAGTTGAGACGATGCTTCCCAGGTAGGTGAAGGAGGTTGTTTCTTTCAGGTTCTTCCCACTTATGCTGATTGTTGTCTGTTGTTGTTGTTGTTGTTGATGTTGGCTAGGAATCTTCATCATCTCTGTTTTATCTATGTTCACGTGAAGTCCTATCTTTGATGCTTCTTCTGCCAACTTGTTACTTTTCACTTGCATATCTTCCAGTTCGCGGGAAATCAGACATATATCATCGGCGAAATCCAGATCCTCCAAGTCTTTCGTGTCAGTCCATTTTATACCTGTTCCCTCGTTCGTTGTCGTTGTCTGTCGCATTATCCAATCAATTGCAATCAGGAAGATCATTGGTGATAGTAGACAGCCTTGCCTCACTCCCGTCCTCACTTTGAAGGCCTCCGTAAGTTTCCCGTTGTGGATTACTTGGCATGCAGCATTGTCGTATAATTGTTGGATGAGATGTATAATTGTCGATGGGACCCCGTAGTAGCGAAGTAGTTTCCAAATGACCTCTCGATCGACGCTGTCGAAGGCCTTTTCAAAGTCGATGAAGTTGAGATAGAGAGGTGATTGCCATTCCAAGCTTTGTTCAATGATGATCCGTAGAGTGGCGATTTGATCAATACATGATTTGTTTCTCCTGAATCCAGCCTGTTCCGGACGAAGTTTTTCATCTAGGGCTTGTTTGATTCTCTCCAGGATGATGCGACTTAGTATCTTGCTTGGAATGGACAGAAGCATAGTTCCACGCCAGTTTTTACATTGACTTAAGTCTCCTTTCTTTGGAAGTTTGAATAAGTATCCGTTCTTCCAATCCTCGGGTACTTTGCCCTCTTTCCACACCTTCTCCAGCAGTGGTGTCATCAAGTCCGCTGTTGTCTCTGGGTCTATTTTCAAAGCTTCTGCTGGGATTCCATCTGGTCCTGGTGTTTTCCCAGCTTTAAGCATCTTGATTGCATTCAGGACTTCTGATTTAGTCGGGGGGTCAGTGTTCACTGGTAGTTCTGCTTCCGTTGTTGGTATTGCTGGACGTGTTATAGGTGGCGGACGATTTAGAAGTCTTTTGAAGTGTTCAGCCCAGTGCTTTCTCTGTTCCACCTCTTTGGTGATTGACTTTCCATTGTCGTCCTTTATTGGCTTAATCTGTGTCGAACGTTTGCCCGAAAGGTGCATAGTTGTTTGGTAGAGTGTGGCGAGGTCTCCTTTGCCTGCAGCTTGTTCTGCTTCGTTTGCCATGGTTTCATAATATTTTCTTTTGTCTTCCCTGGCACTCTTCTTCACTCTTTTGTTCGGTGTATTGTAGCTTGCATTCAGATCCTGTTTTTGTTGCTCGTCAGTGCACTGGATAATCTTTTGTTTCACTGTCCTTCTCTCTTCTATTAGTTTCCAAGTGTCCGTAGTGAGCCACTGTTTGTCCTGTCTCTTTTTTCTGCCTAGAATTTCTATACAGGTTTGACTCCACACCGTTTTCAAGTTGTTCCAGTGCTTTTCGATGCTGACCTCTTCGCTAGTGTTGATTTGTGTCTCGGCTTTGTACTTTATGCTTGCAGTGAAGATGTCCTTTGTATCTTGGTCTTTCAGCTTTTGAATGTTGAACTTGGCTTGTGGTCTATCTGCAGCTCCTGTTTCTCTGAAAGCTTTTAATTTGATTTGGATTGTCCCTTGTACGAGATAGTGGTCTGAGCCAACGTCTGCTCCTCTTCTTGCTTTTTTGTCCAGTAGGCTGCGCCTCCACTTCCTTGAGATTGAGATGAAGTCGATTTGGTTTTTGGTTTGCCCGTCTGGTGACACCCATGTAGCCTTGTGGATATCTTTGTGCTTGTATACACTGCCACCAATCACTAGTTCGTTGAAGGCGCAGAAGTCGGCGAAGAGTTCTCCATTTTCATTCATTTCTCCGAGAGCTTCTC